TACTATAGACATATCTGTATCTTGTATGAAATGACTCTTTTTCTCAGGGAATGCTGAAGTCTGTTTGCCCCTGGAACACGAGTTGTTCCGTGCTCCCAGCTTTGTCACAGACCCGACCCTGGAAAGGTCCGCTTTTTCTGTGTGTGAGCCTTTAGAGGTACCGTAAATCCATTAGTGAAAGAGGGGGCTTTCTTGGCTCAATTAAAATCATTGTGCACCCCTGATCCGTTCAAACGTTAGAAGTGAATCGGCTTGAATTAGCTGTTCTGAAAAGAGTCGGGTGGAAATCAGAGCTGGAGTTTGGGTGGAAATTCGCAGCTGAGAGAGAAAGGTGCCAGAATTTGTATTTAAATGAGGTGCAACAAGATTCCGTGGGTAAAGCGCGTCATTAGGATCTTGAGTTTAGAACTGCTAATTTTTCCTTGGAAATGAGCGTACAGTCATGTGTTTCATGGACCATACTTAATTGTCATTGTGTTGTCGTTGAATTTGTTTTGCTTTTTTTCAGTACTGGTTTGGCAGTCGTACTGTATTTTCTCTTTTTCTTTTTCTACCCCCAACCTCCATCTTCCCTTTCCTTTTATAGGTGCGGAACCAAAACCAGCCCAAAGAATGGTATTGATTTCATGCTGCCTGAGATTTAGTGTCTTCTGCAGCTTTTTTTTTTGCTTACGGTGGCAAGACATTGGTAGATGGTTCTTGGTCCCTCTAAAGTACCTCACAGTATTTCCTTTTGTGGCAGATGGATTGGAGACTTTTAGTTCTCAATAAATGTAGGTTTACAATACATAACTTTACAGGATTCGTGTTGTATATAACAGGTTTGAACATACTATCTCAGAATTCATCTGCATGGCATTTTCAGCTCGAGCAGGGTCCATGCCAGTTTTTTGAAGTAATAGGGGGAGGACTGTGATTGATAGCAACCGCTCAAGGCGTGATTTTGAATAGAAACAAAGGGTTTCGAACAGAAGGTGTCAAATTAAACTTTGTCAGTTTGAAAAGTAGTCACATCCTGAAAGTTTTACTAATTTATTTACATGTGGCTACTGTTTATATTTTGCCGTCTTTAAATGCAGTGTAATGTTGCTTGGCAAATTTACTACATTTAAAGTTTAGGTTGTTCCTTGTACCATTTTAATTTTTCTGAGACTCGATAGGTCGCCTCATTTTCAAGCTGTTCATCTCCTGTCTTTTCTCCTGTTCAGAAGAACAGTTGTGATCTGATTTAATTGTCAGAGTAGTTCCCTGCGCCTGTCTGCCTGTGGTCTTACAATATTTCAAGTCCCAGAGACCTCGCTTAAAACGTCATTATGTTCACATTTTGCAACAGAGTGCTGCATTGTATTCACTCTTTTTCACCATCTCTCCTCCACCAAGCAAATCTATGCATTTATCATTTAAAAAATATTTTGAGGATGAATTCTGGTGATATATTTTGCAAATGATGCTAACTGCACATAGTAAGTGTTTAATGAATGTTACCTAATGGCATACATTATTATTCTTGAGTTAACGCTTCTTTATTTCAATGAAAGAATTAGAAAAATAACTTTGTGCTTAAATTTTCAAAAAAAAAAACCAATCTAGTACTGAGGGAAATAATTATTTTTATGTGTCAAATATTACAAATATCCTAGCATATCGCTGTCTTTCTGAGTTTATTTACTCTAACAATATCGCTTATGGAAAAGTCACCTAGGAAAAGGTACTGGGGAATCAGAGAGCATTTGGCTCTTTTAGTCTCTTTCTGCAAAACATAGATCAGATTTACTGTCATCATTAATGGAGTCTCAATCCATAGAATCTGAAGTCGGAATATTCCGAGGTATTTAAATAGTATTATAATAAATTAATCATCTTTTGTCAGTGTAAATTGGGAAGGAGCCAGTTTATTTCTCTGCTGACAAAGATCTAGCCTGTCAAATATCTGTTTTCCATTATTTGTTGAGAGAGATGCACATGAAAAAAGGCACGTCCCTACCACCCCCCCCCCCAAGTCTTGTTTTTTGGAATACCCACGTAGAACTAACAGTTCCCAGCTGCACTGTTAAATATTTTTCTAAGAAGCATCTGATTTCAGTCTCTTAAAACCATCGTGTCTCTTGAAAGGCTAGCGGAGACATGCTTCAGATATATAATTCATCAAATTATTTTTAGATAAGGAATTAGAAGTATTATTTAAGGGCAGAGGTTAATGGCAAACTACTGGAAATGTTATGTTAGTCATGGGCAATTAATAAAACTAAGAATCTGTCTCGTAAGTACAGAGACTCAGAAGTGACAATATGAGCAAAATATTTGTTGAAAGAGTCGGGGCTCTTTTTCTGAAATATTTGTTAAACCAGCATGAGTGTGATTGTTTAGGAATTAGCTATCATTATTAGCCATTTTAAAAGAACTAATGATTTTCTTTTCCAAAGAACATCTGTGAGCCACATGGTTTTTTTTCCTCCCACATATATCCAAGTGCTAACCGATCTCTGCGTTACTTTAAAAAGTTTTTGAAAGGATTTGAAAAATTATGGGAGGTTTTCAGCTTTCTCCAAGAAGAGTTTCTTACATGAATCATTCTTAATTTAACTTTTAGCAATTTTTAGTTACAAGCATTTATTTCTTAAAAAAGAAGAAAAGAGAAAGAAACTTAGAGGCTCGCTGCTAAGCACTTACTCAAATAGTATAATTCTAGCTAAGTATAAAAAAATTTTTTTCTGTTCTGTGCTTGATGAACCTTCTAATGTCTCTTGGAAGGTAAATAAAATTGTAGTGATTTGTTGTGTTTAAGCATGGGGGCCTGTCAGTTGCTATAGTTGAAAGTTGGCAGGGTAGGGGGTTTAATCTTAACTATAGTTAATATTCAAGCCTACAGGAAGATTTAGAACTAAAACCTGCACTGCATCAAAACATAGAGGTCAAGTGTAAAGAAATTGCTTAGATGTGGAAAAATATAAAATATTTTCATGGTGTGATCCAGATAGCACACAGTTGTCAATAAGAACTAAATAAACATCTCCAGGGCACCATATGCAAGTGGTCTCAAATATTTCAAATACTCAAATATGGTTTTGTAGTTAATGTTATATTCACATGAATAGAGCTGAAATACACCATCTCATCGCATGATTCTAGAAATCGGCACAGAATTGCCGTGGTTAGGAGAGAAGCATGTTCCGTGACACTGTCACCACAATTATTTTTGTTTTTTATTTAGTACATCTTCTGTTTACTGTCTGCTCCCTTAGCCTGGAATTTTGCATTCAGTGGCATCAAATGGATGCACAAGTACATGACTGCCCCAGGCACATATTTGTTTAATTAAAAGACATGTTGAATGGAGAGTCAGAGGCATCTCAGAGACACTAGTAGATGTCATGAGGTTGTGGCAGCTATTGGCCCTTGGCTGGGTGGTAGGTGGGCCTTGGCAGGCTCGGGTCTCAGGCTCCGTCCTTCAGAATTTCTCTCCCAGGCCATTTCGGGGAAAATGGGCCCTCCTTCTTCCCACTGTATATTACAGTTGGAAGAGAATTTCTCTGGTGGTTCTGTTGAAGAAGAAGGGAAGGAATATCATACCATTTTATGATTCACCCAAAGGTCTAAAGGTAACATTAAAGAAAAAAAAGCAGTTCCCCTTGGCCAGTAAATCAGATCAGAAATTGTACTCTTCCCATTCTCATCCATCTAATTAACTTGGAATTTGCTTTGTCTTTGGTTGACTTCCTTAAAGCAGAGCCTGAGATTAGGAATTGATACCCTCATGATTTAGTGAGGGACTAGAAGCAGTTAGGGAGGATAAGACAGAGGGAGCAGTCCAGTAAGAACGTGGTCTCAGGTAAAGTCTGCATTGATGGGGAGACGGAGCAAGAAGATGAGGGAGGCCCATCTCTGGAGAGTAAAAGGTAGAGTGACTCTGGGGCCAGAGGCAAGAACTTGGTACCACTGCGTCAGCAGTCACTGGCCACCCAGGGTGAAGGGGTCAGGGAGGAAGTGGAGTGAGCATCCTGGCATCTCCGGGGGAGAGGGCTCCAAGACATTTCTCCAGGAAAGAGCGTAGCTGTGAGCTGTGGGTAGGCAACCGGAAACTAAGGCTGGTTGCCTTGGTGGCTGGTGAAGGGGGTCTGGGTGGGACACTCTCCCTCTCCACCCCATTACCTTGTGTCCATCATGACAGCCAAGACGAAGAAGGTTTGAGACGGTGATTGGAAAATGTTAGATGGTATAGTCTGTTGGACCACTCGGTTCTTGATGGAGAATGAGAGTCAAAAACGGGGCCTCAGAAGGCATCAGAGAGGTTCAGGATTTGGCAAGCCTTGGACATTGCCTTCTCTCTTAGCCAGGAAATCTTTGAAAATCCTTGCCCAACAAACCATATGTGTATACTGCAGCAGGCAACATGCTGAGGTGTCTTTCTGGACTTGAAGAATTCTTCTAATACCTGTTCTAGATGTAACACCTCACCTTGGACAACATTCTTGCTCACATAACTGCACATATCCTTTCCTCCACACACTCACACACACACAAATATTCACACAGAGTTGCCTTTCTAAGACAAAAATTATAAACGTCAAAAATCCTTTTAGGAAAAAAAATCATTCTAAAAAAAAATCTGTCCTGTTCGTTCTTAAATACCTTCAGAACCTCAGCCGGCACTAGTCAGACAAAGAAGTCGGGTCACACTCCTCGCCCACATGCTGTAGAGTCCGTGGTAATAAATGGGTCTTCCCCCTGGAGTCTGAGAAATACGACCTTCCTTTAAGATGCAAATCTGAGCATTTACTGAACACAGAGCCAGCTTTCTTGATAGCCACAGCTCTTCTCTCTTAACAGGTTAAAAAAAAATTGTTCAAGCAGATTGGAGTGTTTTGAGCTTGTGACAAAAGTTAACTTCACAAAGCCCTCCCTTTCTAAGCTCCTCATGGTGCCTGTCGGGCTCCCCACCCCCGACCCCAACAACCCCACACCATTGATGGGAACTGACCTGTGATGCCCTTGTCTCTAAGGGGTGGTTGTGTGAGCTGTTACGCTGGAAAGAAGATCCTTCTCCAGAAAACAGGACCCTGTGGGAGAACCTGTCCATGATCCGAAGGTTCCTGAGCCTCCCTCAGCCGGAACGGGATGCCATCTACGAGCAGGAGAGCAACGCGGTGCATCACCATGGCGACAGGCCGCCCCACATCATCCACGTGCCCGCAGAGCAGATTCAGGTTCGTTTACCTTGGCCCATTCAGTATAGCACTAAGTAAGCAGAGGTTTAAATTTAGCAGGGAAATGAGCGTTTCCCTTCTGCCCGCCAGTCTAAACATGGGCTTTTTTAGCAAGAGGTGACGGTACACTGCCGGCTCGCGCAGGGGGAGAAAAGGAGGCAGAACACGCTCTTCCCAGCACGCGTCTTGTGTTCCTCTCCCTTCGCAGCCCCTCCCCCCAAGCGGCAGAAACCCCCTTTTCTGCTTATTTGGCAAGGATGCCTTTGTCAGAATTGGGTTGCTTTGTGGTGTGAGAGCGTAAGGTTTTTTGTTTGTTTTTTAAAAAGCAGAATCTTTCCAACAGCAGCCTATTTCTTAATGAATACCAATGCTGTCCCCAAGGAAAGGCGTGACTGCGGTTTCTGTAGAAGCTTGTAGCGTCACAGTTGTCAACCCTGGATTCTGTCCAAAAAAGAGGAAGGGAGGGAACCCAAACCGGGATCTCGCCTCTGACTCCCTGGCCCCTGCCGTCACTTTGTTGCTCTGTCTCCCCCCGCACCCGCCCAGAGCACAGGTTGGGGGTGAGTCATGTCTGTTTGTCTTTCCTTTAGAGCCCCTCTCCCACCACCCTTGGGAAAAGAGAGTCTAGAGGCGTTTTCTTGCCAGGCCTGCCGACCCCCGCACCGTGGCTCGGTGCTGCTCCTCAGGTGAGCGGGCACAGGTTACCTTTGCCAGCAGGAGAGGGACACACGGAGGCATGGCATCAAGACCGGCTCCCGTGGTCAGGATTTGCAGCCTTACCAAGGCCACACTAACTGTGATGATGGCCAAAGACCACTGTGTGGGCAGAGTCCGCCTCGGTTCAGCTAGTCCTGTCCTGGGACCTGTCTCCATTCATCCACCGAGGGAATGGCCCAGTGAATTGAGATTGGGAAACTCTGAGCTCAGGTAGTCTGTTGGTGCTTTTATGGCCTGGACTGCTTAGGAAATGCGTTGAAATTGAATTTGAGCTGTACAGATGATTCCGCCTCAATCTAAGAGGGTGTTTTTAGCTTTCCCCTCTAAGGGAAAATACCATTGCCCACCAGAGTCCTTAAAGTCTATACTCTGTTGAATCACATGCGTATTATTTCTTGGTATTGCTGGCGGAGGGGCCGGGAGATGGTTGGATGGATGGATAGGTAGAAAGAAAGATAGATAGATATACAGAAACACAAATAATAATAGGATTATCCATCCACTAGGAAAAAATGAAAAATCCTTGAGTGTATATTAAAGATAAATTGAAAAAGAGAATCCCTTAGGAGACCAAGTACTGAAATAATTGTGAAAGCCTATAAAACTTACTATTTAGCAAAAACACAAACAAAAAAGAAAGATAAATGTTAAGTAATAGGAATAGTACTTGCTTGAAAATGTAAGTTGTTTTTAATAAAACTGCTTCATAGGGGGATTAAGGAAATGCTTAGGGCGCAGTACAGATGTTCTAATATTTTACCGCTTATTCAGGTGGATTTGCTTTGCTGGTCAGAATCCTGGACACAGAGTGGAGATACACAGTTTGTGCCTGTGTCACACATTTGTTATGTATAATCGTGTATGAAAATTACAGCACATGTACAGATACTAATTATGAAAAAGTGTCTGCACTAAATCTAAATCCTAATTACATCTGAGTTTCCTACAGACAAAACAATTTGCTAGCCGTTGTGGGGTGGAGTGAACCTTTATTTAAGAAAAAACTTGCAGTATCAACCTAGTGCGATCTGAAGTAAGAATTGTGTGTCTGTTAGGATTGGAACTGCCTGGTGGGAAATTTCACAAACTTGAGAATCTCAGATATCCTTTCGATTCACAAGGGCTAATGCTGCAGAAAAGCAGACGCTTGCCCATTTCATATTTCTGTATATTTCAATACTTAAATTTTATTTAAAATTTTTTTTATATTTTAAATAAGACTTTCTGTGCTTGCTCCACGTTTTAGCCATCTGATGAGATGGGACAAAACATATTTCCTTCCCCACGGCTCCATAGCTCACCTTTCCACAATGACTTTGAAATCTTTACTTCTTGGTCTTCATTTTAAATCTCTGTTAATTACTGACATCATAATATGCTGTCGCTGCCTCTGGTGCATTTCTTTTTGGTGAAGTTCATGGCTCATATTTTCAGAGCGCTGAGTTCTCACTTCCCGTGAGCCTGCCTGACCTTTGGCCAGGAAGCCTGCGGGCCCCAAAGCCCTCGGAACTCCTCCCCTCCTATGATCACCTTGACTCTCTTCCCAATGCTGTGGGCCACGCAGCCCGCCAGGCAGGCGCACGCGGGATCCCTAACCGCGGGCTCGCTCCTTCCCAGGCCGCATGCGCAGTGGCCGAGCGCGC